TTTTTAATTAGTTTTCAATTTTAAATGAGAAAATTATTTTTTGTATTTATGTAGTAAGATAGCATTATAAGAAATTATATAGCATCATATACATAGATATATTTCATATATTGTAAAAATTAAAAGTAAAATTTTAAAATATTTCATTTTATTTCTTTTCACCTTCCTCTTCCCTATCATTACCCATCGAAGTGGGAACATTTAAACTAACATCAAGCTTTAAAAAATTATTACATGTCTAATTATTATAAAAAAGTAGTGTTATTGTCTAAAATATTAATTTAATCATAAAATATTTAAAAATAAAGACTCATTATCACATTATATGCATTCTAAATTAAAATATAAAACAATAGGTTTTTAAATGCATTTATTACTTCACATAACAGTATGCATTAACATTTGAAAATAGAGACTTATTACCACATTATATGCATTCCAAATTAAAATATAAACAATAGGATTTTTAATGCAATTATTACTTCACATAAGGGTATGCATTGGTCAATTCAATTTGATTTAGTGTTAATTGAATAATATTAATAAACCAAGCTGGCTTAAATTGTTGGACCGAATCAAATTGAACATTGCTTGATATATGGTTTGGCCTGATTTTTAGTCCAGCTCATTAACATTAAATAATACCTTAACCTTATTTTAAAATAAATTTTTTATTTTAAAGTATCAATTTAACCATAAAATATATTAAATAAAAAGTCATTATGTTATTTTATATATGCATCATAAAATTACAATAATACAACAAAATTAATGTCTTAAAATGTTAAATATTAGATCAAACAAGAAAAAATTAAGTATGACAATAATATCTAGTTATTATTACAAAAGTCACACTTTCAACGACAATATATAAAGTCATTGCTAAAAGTCACACTTTTTTCGATGACTCTAAAAAGTTATCGCTAAAAGTCACACTTCCTGTAGGGATTCTAAAAAAGTCATCACATTGTAAACTTTTAGTAGCAGCATCTACTTGTCACTGCTAAAATTTTTACAATTAGTGGCGACTTTATATTGTCGCTGTAAAAAGTCACATTTTTAGCAGTGACTTCACATGTCGTCGCAGAAGGTCAAACTTTCAGCTGTGACTTTTATTATCGCCATAAATTATTTATTTTTAGTGATGACTTTTTAAGGTTGCCACTAAAAGTTATCACTAAAAATTTTTTTTTTTTATAGTGACACATACTGATTGCCATTCCTCCGCACACAAAATGGTTCACTTGAACAAGCAACAAGGGATCACGTGGATCCATGCACTATCTTCCAAGGCAATTCATCAGGGAATAAAATTTGCAGAAATTCTTCCTTTGGATCCTGAATAAAACCTGATAAATGTTGCTCCCTCATCGTTGCAGTCTATGGAAGCTCGATCTCTAATTCTAGCTCGATCTCTAATTCTACTAGCAAGTGGGTAGAACATGGCAAGAACTTGGGATAAGGATTTCTAGACAACTTCATCAGATCTATCTTCACAAACTTCAGCCTTGGTTGCAACAGGGGAGACCAAGGGGAGCACGCCCCTCCTAACTTTTTTAATTATTTTTAATAAAATGTAGGAATTATATATATTCTGTCCTATCAAAATATATTTTGTATGTATAATATATTTAATACTAAACATAGTATTTACTTGCCTTTTAATAAATATAAAAATATTACACTAATATATTATACAAGTCGAAAAATGTTAGCATTTAAAATGTATGTATATAAATATAAAATATACTATTAAAAAATAGGAAAGTTGCCAATTTTAATTTAAGGTATATAAATGTAATATATACTTGTCTTGTTTGCACAGTTTTGCCTTGCTTCGAAAAGTTTCCGCCACTGTTCACACTTCACAGCTTCTTCAAGGCAATTTGGTATGGGTATCAGCGTATGCCTTTTGTCTTCTTTCTTTTTTTTTATTGTTTGCATCCTATTCCTTCTTTTTATTATTTTTTCTCCTCCACTGTTCACTGTTTCAAGACAATTAGGTACGTGTCTGTTGTGTGCAATTTGCCTTGTTTCATGTTATTTTTGTCTGCGTTCCTTTTTTTTAAAAAATTTTTTTCTCCTTTGTGTTGAATCAAAGAACTTGGCTTGACTACCCTTACGATCTTATTTTCTTAGGCCCTCCAATTAAGCGAATACAAGGATAAAGTTGAGGTGAACCACTCCAATCTCCAATCTCCACTCCAATCTTATTTTTCTTTTGTTATATACTTTGCTTTTTTAATACTTATGATTTTATTGTGCAATTTGCGTTACGATCTTGTTTTTTTTTTTAATTCATGCTAATATTTTATATAATATAATTTACAAGCTATATTTTTTCAGGATTGAAAGATGTCTAGGAAAAAAACTATTAATTCATTTTTTAAGAGAAAAGAGATAGATGATGAAAGAACACCATCTATTTCTAATGTTAAAAATTTTGTTGAACAACTTATAATGTCAACTATGGAACAACTTGCTGTCCAACCACATCTTTCCAAATCTATAAGAATTGAATGAGAAAAAGTTAACATTGACACTTTGATTCATGATCATGGAAAGCGTCCACAAATTTGGGATTATTTAGTTAATCAACAAGATGAAATTCATAGAGCATAAAGTTTGGGCCATATCAATTTATAATGGATATGTATCCACTTGCTGGTCAAGAAGATCATCCTCGTCGATTTCAAGCTCATTGGTTTAAAGATTTTCCTTGGTTAGAGTATTCACCAAAAAAAAATTCTGCCTTTTCCCTGCTATCTGTTTTATAAAAAATCAAGTACATTCAATTCAATATGATTTAAAAATTGGAAGAGAGTGAATCATGGGAAAGAATTTGCTTTTTTATCCCGTATGGGAAAAAGTCCAAATTATGTTCACAATATTGCTGTTAAATCCTTTAATGACTTCAAGAATCAATATTGTCATATTGACAAAGTATTGGCTAAACAAACTCCACAAGAAATTTTGAGCAATCGCTTGTGACTAAAAGCCTCTATGGATGCTGTTAGATGGTTAACATTTCAAGCTTGTGCTTTTAAAGGACATGATGAAATCTGGGATCAAAGAATCGAGGTAACTTTCTTGAAATGATAAAGCTTTTGGCTTCTTATAATAAGGAAGTAAATGAAGTTGTCTTAGAAAATTCTCCACAAAAAGCAAAATATACTTCACCTAATATTCAAAAAGAAATTTTACACGTATTTGCTAAAAAGGTACAAGGTGAAATTCGAGAAGAGATTGGTAATGCAAAATTTTGTTTGATTGTTGATGAATCTCAAGATGAGTTTAGAAGAGAACAAATGGCTCTTATTATTAGATTTGTTGATAAGAATGGATTTGTCAAGGAGCACTTTCTTGATGTAGCACACATTAAAGATACTACTGTAATCACTCTTAAGCAAGAAATTTATTCAATTTTGTCTCGTCATAATCTCAACATTCAAAATGTTAGAGGTTAAGGATATGATGGAGCTAGTAATATGCGTGGAGAGTGGAATGGTTTGCAAGCTTTAATTCTTCAAGAATGTCCCTATGCATATTACATACACTGTTTAGCTCATCAATTACAACTAGCTCTTGTTGCTATGGATAAAGAAGCAGTTGATGTTCATTCATTCCTCCAAAACTTGAATATGATTGTTAATGTTGTATGTTCTTCTTGTAAGTGCAATGATGAATTACAAGATACTTTTGCATCTCAAATTGCCAATTTGGTTGAAAATAATGAGATTGAAATTGGAAGTGGGGCTAACCAAATTGGCACATTACAAAGGCCTAGAGACACTAGATAGAGTTCTCATTTCAATTCTCTATGTAGCCTTTTCTGCATGTATAGTGCAACTGCTTTAGTTCTTGAAGATATAGCTATCACGAGATCTATGTATTATCAATGAGGTGATGCTACATATGCTTTTAAATTTTAAAACATTAATGTCATTTGATTTTTCTTTTGTTTTACATCTGATGAAAGAAATTATGGGAACCATTGACAAACTTTGTCAAGCATTACAACAAAAATTTCAAGATATTTTGAATGCTATTTCCTTAATATTTACCACAAAATCACTTATTCAAAAGTTAAGAGATTATGATTGGGATAATCTTCTACAAAAAGTTACATCTTTTTGTAGCAATCAAGCTATTGAAATTCCTGATATGAATTGTATTTACTCTAATATAATTCGGTCTCGTCGACATAAAGATTCTGTGATTGTTGAGCATCATTATCATATTAATATATTTAATACAGTCATCGATTATCAATTGAAAGAATTAAATAGTAGATTCAGTGAGCAAGCAACAAAGCTTCTAAAATTGAGCATGGCTTTAGATCCTAAGATATATTTAAATCACTTAGTGCCAAGAATATCTGTAATCTTGTTGAGAAATTTTGCCCTTCATATTTTTCTAATCAAGAAAATATTTGATTAGAATATGAATTACAACATTATGAGCTTGATGTGCCTAAAGATCCTCATTTTTAGAACTATTATAAGCGAGTTATGTCAAAAGTTTGTAGAAGTTGGAAAGTCCAATTCACTACTACAGAATATATCTTTAGGAGCGGGTATTTAGGAGCGCTTCTTTAAAAAGCGCTCTAAAATGTAAATGCGGAATTTACCGGAGCGCTTTTTTAGAAAAGCGCTCCTGTATGTCAGGGCTTTTCAATAAGATAATGCTCCTAATTAATATAAATAAAATATTATAAAAAATTTAAAAAGACCTTCGGGAGCACTCGTAGTTAAGCGCTCCAGAAGACTATTTTCCGGAGCACTCTTCAAAGAGCGCTCTTGGAATGAGCGCTCCGAAAGAGTTGTTCTTCCGGAGCGCTCGTCAAAGAGCGCTTCGAAAGAGAGATCTTCCGGAGCGCTCTTTGAAGAGCGCTCCAGAAGAGGTGGTCTTTTATATCTCTGCCTCCCGTCAGTTTTCTTTTCCCTATTTATGAGTTTCTTTCAAACCTCTCTCTCATTTGCTGAGGTTGTGCGTTCCCAACGAGTTCTAGATCATCGCTGTATCAGTCTATCTTCCATCGCTGTTCACTGTTCCAGATCGTCGTCCGCCGCTGTTCGCTGTTCCAGATCGTCGTTCGCCACTGTTCGCTGTTCCAAATCATCGTCTGCTGCTGTTCGTTGTTCCAGATTAGTGTTCATTGCTGTTTGTTCATTTCTGTGTCATGTCGCGCCATCTGTCTCTGTTTTTGCACTGCCGTCGCCGTCACCGCCATCTCCTGCATCACTATTCTAGATCTACATTTCTGTTCCAGATTTGTGCGGCTGCTGTACACCGGAGGAAGCGACACCGTGAAGACCTCCGTTGTAGCCGTGTGTCATTGCTGTACAGCCGAGGAAGCAACGCTGCAAAGACCTCCGCTACTGCCGTGAAGACTTCCATTTTCTGCCGTGAAGACTACACTGTGAAGGTATTTTTTTAATAATTAATTTATAATGTAATATATTGATATATTTATATATATTTGAGAATAAATTTCACATATATTTTTTTAATAATCAATATTATAGATAATATATGAATTGGAGTTATTTATATTAGAATTATGGAGTATTTGTAGTTGATAATTAGATTAAAGTTGAGGAAACTACTTGAACATTTTTATTTTATTTATGAAATATACTTTTAAGGGAGATTATTGTTATTAATTAAATTACAATTGATTGACAGAATTTAGATGCATTATGCTACTAAATTTTTATTTGGATGAATTAATTTTTTGAGTTTAAATGTATTGTGTTGTGGAATTTGATTGTTTGATCATTTGGGAGGTTCTTCTTTTAAGGAAGATGTTGTTGAATTTTTTTATATAAATCTAAGTCTTTTGTTTATTGAATTTTGATAATCATATTAGTGATATGGATCATAAGTGGATGTCGGCTAATCAACTATCTAGAGAATATTGGGATGGTGTGGATGAATTCATTGAATTTGCATTTTGTTGTGATCAAGACCCCCTTGGAGTCATATGTCCTTGTTTGAAATGTTGCTCTGGAAAAAGAGTAAAGCCAATAAAATTGAAAGATCATTTAATCTGTAATGGGATTGATCCAACTTATACTTGTTGAACCATGCATGGGGAGACAAGGAATGATGCAAATGATTGGAGGGATAGTGCGAGCTACTCAACATTTGATCGTGATAGTGGGACATATGATGTTGACCGTCTTGATGAAATGAGTCATATATATAACTTCATCGCTGAAGTATTTTAAATTAAGTTAGAATTTATTTTCACCATATTTTGATAATGACATCTTTTATTGTTTTATAGGTACCTACACAATTACAAGGTTGGGAGTGTGGATACTATGTTATGAAGTTTATGAGAGAAGTAATCACACAACAAGAGTTGATCATTCCTGAAAATGTAAGTCAAAAACTTTAAAATTAAGTTGATATAATGTTAATTCCTTATATATTGCTTTCATATCTTGTGTAGTATTTTGTTGGAGTAAGATGTTCGTATTTTACTATGGAGCAAATAGAAGATTTAGTTGAAGAGTTGTCAGAATATATTATTGGCTGTTTGTGATAGGAAGTTAAATTTCAATGTTAGAAAAAAAACAATAATTTCATTTGTTAGGCTTGTTAGAAATTAAACTAGGTTAGTTAGGAAATTAAAATTTTTGTATCAGTTTCAAATTCTTTTATTGTATATAAATTTTTATGTTAATATTATTTTTAAATTAATTTTTGATATTATGATTTGTCATTATTAAAGAGACGTAAAAGGAGAAATTTCAAAAAATCTGATTTAAAAAAAATTAAAGTAATATACGGGAGCGCTCATTTGAAAAGCGCTCCTGTACAGTAACATACAGGAGCGCTCTTCTAGAGAGCGCTCCTATATGGTTCATACGGGAGCGCTCTTTATAAAAGCGCTCCGGTATGGTTGCATACGGGAGCGCTCTTGTAGAGAGCGCTCCTGTAAGGGAGCGAGAGCGCTCCCGTATGTAGCTCCCTTACAGGAGCGCTTTTCGAAAAGCGCTCCCGTATAGCGTGTATACAGGAGCGCTTTTTTTAAGCGCTCCTATACATTTCGGAGCGCTCGATACGAGAGCGCTTCAAAAGCGCTCCCTAAAATAAAAAAAAGTGCTCCTGTAAACTTATTTTGTAGTAGTGATTCTTATCCTTTGATTGATAGATTACTAAGGCTTGTACTGACTCTTCCAATGTCAATAGCAACCACTGAGCGAGCTTTTTCAGTTATGAAAATTATAAAGACAAGGCTTCGCAACAAGATAGAAGATGAGTTTCTCACTAAGTTAATGATAGTTTATATTGAGAAAGAGATTGCTGAAAAATTTACCACAGACATGATCATTGATGATTTCTATACTATGAAGAATTGACGAGCAAAACTTAAAAAATGAAAGTATATATTTATTTTGGTTTTATATTTTTAAAATTAATAAATATGAATATAGTTAGATGTTAAAATATTTATGCTATGTTAGATTTTTCTTTTCTTCAGTTATAGCATATGCTTTGAGATCTCGACCCCCTTACTTAAAAATTCTGGTTGGCTCGTAAAAGTAAACTACTGGAACATAGTGATTGAAAATGACATGATCTATAAAGGAAAGAGGATAAATTCTGAGATGAGGAGCGCTAGGAGAAGAGGGTTTAATAGTCTCTCTTGATGTTACTTCCATGTCCATCGAGAAGGCTTCAAGGGATTTAGGGTTAAGGGGGTTCGACTGAATCGGGTGTATAATATTTTTTAAAAAAAAAATACAATCCTCCTCCTGCTCCCAGAACTCACTTTCGCACTGATCAATCCTCCTCTCAAGGTATATTTCTTCCATCCCCTCTTTTCCTACAAGCTCCGTAACTTATTTTCTTATGTTATATGCATTTTTAGGCAGCTCTATTCATAATATTTGGCTGCCTCTCAACCGGTAGCAAATAATTAAATGAAAAATATTAAATACATAGATATTTAAATAACCTAATAACAATAAAGGTTTAAAATTTTAAATAAAGAAAAATAAAAATACTTTTTTATTGTCTAAGGCATCTCACAGCCGGCAGCTGTGAGATTAATCTCTCAAAAAATATGAGTGTCATTTAAGGAGATGTCCTCTTCTAAATAATATTTTTCCAAACACCCCTTCATTTAAAAAAAAACTAGAGATCATAAATACTTATAACTTGTACAAACATTTTTAAATATGATACAGTACTTATAATATTTATGCATAACATATTTTATATTGTATAATTATAATTAATTATCTTTATTAATTTTTTAACAAGAAAATAGCTTTAATTAATATTTAAAATTAGTAAATTACATTTACTTTTTTATGAAAAAAGGTTGATAGAAGATTATTTATTAAAATAAAAGAAACAAGGAAATTGATAAGTAATAGTCATGTAAGCTTATTTTTCAAGTTGAGCACACAATCAGTGTTGGGGTGATATATTGTATGAAAAATCAGACCGGACCGATCAGTCAGACTTAAAACTGGTGAATCGATTCCCCACTTGGTCTGTTCAGGTGATCATATTGGAAATTAATTGAATTAGTTTAGCCCAATTGACCTAGAAATAAACCCAATGTAACATGGCTAACCTAATGGGTTGGACAGGTCAATGGGTTGAGAGAAAAGAGAGCATAAAACAAAGATCCAAGAAGAAGGAAGAAGAAGATGCAAAAGAAAAAGGGAGAGAGTCAAAGAAAATAAAGGAAAACTGATGAAGAAAGGGAAAATAATCAATAGTAAAATTAAATCTAAATGACCATGGCATTCTTTAACCTTGCAATGTTCTGATTTGTTTGTTCTGTAGCTATATTTGTTCTTGAATCAACTGATCTACATGTTTGCACAACACACAAGTGGGAAGACGAAGAAAGAAAAAATAAAAATGATGAAGTTGAATGAAAGGAACATCTATGAGTTTTGAAGTAAAGGAGCAAGCAATTACTGAGAATTGCTCGCTCATCTATGAGTTCTGAAGTAGAGGAGTCAGCAATTACTAACTGCTCGCTCTTCTACTTTAGAACTCACAGATGTATTCGTTTTTTCCCATTTTAGTGAATATAGAAAATATGCACGACATTGTTAATAAAGCAACAAAAAACTATTTTTTAAAAGAAGAAAATCAAAAGTTATTGAGAATCTTGTCAAATCATAGAATCTGCATCTGACAAAGTGTGGATCAGTTAAAATATTTTTAAATAAAATGTAGATAAAAGTCTTAATTTTTTGAAAGAATTATACTCAGTCAAAAAATTAATTATTATAGGTTCGATGCTCATAGTTTGATTCAATTGTCAATAAATATTATAGTAATTAATTATCTTATGTAAAATTTCAATGTAATTCTCCCTAATTTTTTTCCAACAAGTGTTAATTCAAAAAAAAATGTTAGGTTGTTAAAAGAATAAAGATTTATCAAGTTGTACAGATATAATGTTTAAAATATTTTTTATATTTTTAAATTTTAATTTCATTATTTTTTTTATTTTTAATATTATTATTAATAATGAGTGAAATAATGTACCACTATTATCTATTAATAATTATATTATTTTATTATGATCGGATGAACTACTGACTCTTAACTCAGTATTTTGACCCATTCAATAATCAGTCCATTTTTTAATGCCTTGAGTGATACTGTGGTGAATGGTGATCCCAAAAAAAAAAAAAAAGCAATCACTAGTTCTCTTGCTATGCCATTATTTTCCGTTTTCTTTTTTTTTTTCAGGAAGTAAATATTACCATCCCATTGTTATTAGAATCTAGAAGTATTGCTGCATATATTTGGCGGAAGGTGATGATCTTCCAAGCAACAATGTAACCCTACGAGGATGCATATCATTGTTGCTGTCAAATCAATACCCATAGAGGCACAAGCGTGCTTTATCCTTGGGTTAGAGGGGACTGTAAAGAATCCTTATGAGGTGCGCTTGTTACTAATTTCTTTTGGCAACTTCCTTATGATGGTGTTGGTCAAATTACCATGTTTAATTACTTTTGGACTAATGTTTGTGGGTTTTCATTAGGTTGTGTCTTTTTTATCGCGACAATAGGTTAGGTTTTTTTATGCACTAATCATTTTATCTTTATATAAATTTAGCTTATATTCAATAAAAAACGCAGTTTGATAAAGTTGAAAAAATCACATTAATGTGTATGCGTCTAACTTTCTTTGCTGCATGCACATCTCTTTCTTTTGTAAATTCATTATTGGAAAAATTGCTAGAATATCCCTCTTTGATAGAGAAATTGTTTTCAAGGATCAAATCAAATTTGATGGCCAATTTTTTTTTTTGAACAAAAAATTTGATGGCCAAATTAAATTTAATATTCATAAAATAATCTAAGCAAGTGATCCAATTGCTCTTTTATGTTGACTAAATTATTGTCTTTGACGGCTTAGCCCATAAAGGCTTTTTGTCCTCCTTCTTTAAAGGGCTTAGATCTTAAAACTCAATTATTTGAAAATGTCATATTTTTGAAGTTCAGCCCTTTATTTGAAAAATATAGCTTAGATTAACGACTATAATGGTATCATAGTCATGGAAACAGGTCTTTTCATTGAGAGAGGGTGAGAAAGAAGGCACACAAACCTGCAAGAGTCGAATATGAAGAGCACTCCGAGATTAATAGTGTGATAGCATTAACAGCAAACCGGAAGTAATCTATTGAAAATGAGAGCTTAAACAAATATTTGCATTTTTTATGTGGCTCATTGAAAATCACTAGATGAGTGAGGAGATCGAGAATCAGATGAGTGGGGAGAACCAGAACAAACCCAGAAATAAGCAAACAAGCACCCTTGCTTGAAGCTAAAAATCAAAGATCGTGAGATAAACACTTACTGCACGAATCAAACTGAGCAAAGCACTGATGCTGCCAAGATCGAGTGGATGGAGCCGTGGTGGAGAGCACTGATGTTGCCGAGATCTAGAGGAGGGAGGAGAGTATGGACACTGTTGAGATCGAGTAGATGGAGGAGAGCATCATGAGATTGTCGTGACAATCAAGAGAGTGCAGAGTTAGGGACTTAGGGTTTTGAGGATTATTTGCCCAAAAAAAACAAAGGTTAATGAGGCTTGGATGGCCATTCAGACTTGAACTCCTTTTTTCGAGACTTGCTAGGATATGACCCAAAGCCTAATTACCGTGAAAAAATCTCAATTTTTCAAACCCTATTCCTTGTTCCATCGTTATTGATTGAAGAAGACTGAGTATCAAGTTTGGGATAAATATAATGTGAGAATCCTGATGATGAACACAATCCCTTGAGAACGAAACCCAAGAAAGGCCGCGTGACAAGAGCCATAGCCAAAAAGGGTGAACGATACATAATGCGCAAGATCTGAACATCAGGAATCTTTGCCACAAACACAGTATCAGGATTCAAAGTAATTATTGGTCCGTCATGACAACACTCGATCTTGCTCCCATTTTTGGGTCGATTATACCCATAAACCATCTCCATTTCCTTCATGTGACGATTAATTCCTAACCCACCGAGCAAAACCCCTTTTCACAAAACTTGTAAGTACGGATGTACAAGATGTTCGACAGTGGTTCCTTCATTTAGCTTCCGCCTTCAGGCATGCTTCACTCATCTCTCACTTGCTCTGAAATCTCCCATTGTTCCAGATCTGGGTATCTAACGGTGCTCTGTCATGCTATGATTATTTTTTTTTTTTGGCCAAATAATGGAAATATCATTTGAGTATTTTTTCCCCCCCCCCCTCAATCATTTTAAATTTTTTCAAGCATTAGATAAGGAAAATACTTGATTAGTTGTTTATGACAATTTATTGAGTAATATAAAAAGGGATTGAAGACGAGCTATCTGAACAGCAATTGAGCTCACTTTAGAAACAATTTAGTTTTAGATTTAAAATTATTCAATATTTTTTCAAGATGTAAATTGGATGCTAATCTTTATTTTCTAATGTCTAAGTGACATGCGATGCTCCTGGAGGTGAGAAATGTGATTTCCCTTGTGACATGCATTAAGACGAATGAGTAAGGAAGCAGTTGATCAGAATTCAAGTGTAGCTCTGGACCTATTGGACAAAATTCGCTGATATATCACACCTGATACTGATGTAGAATTTTAAATATGATATGATACAATAGTGCAATACAATACAGCGGTTTATGTATATCTGGTGTGACTGTGTGTGTGTGTGTGTTTATAAAAGTTAGATATAGAGTATGTTTGGATTAAAAAAATTTACAACTGAAATTAGAATCAACTAAGGTTAATAAATTGAGATTAGAAACAAAGTTTGTGACTTTATTTGGATATCTTTTTTTTAGAAGTCAATTAGACAAAATAAAACTTGTTTGGATGATTTGATTCAAAAATTAGTTAAAATATATAATAACAAAAATAAATAAAATTTTTCTTGTATATATTCTTGTGACTAATCTTTGATGTTTTTAAAGAGTAGATTACAAATATAAAAATAAGTAACATAATTTTTTTACATAATTTGATTTAAAAGCTAGTTTAGATATTGTATGATATAAAAATGGATTTGCATGATTTTGAAATTCAAAAAAAAAATCAAAGTAACTTTTTTTTTTACCCGATGCTATTGAAATGAATGTAAAATCTAGTTAGCCTTAATGAAAATTTTATAATTTATAAATTATATCATAATAAGCTTATATTTTAGGTCTCCAAACTTCTTCTGCCTTAATTTTTTATCATGATATAATCTACTATTTTTTAATCATACACATACATCGAGATATGCTCAATAGTTTTGAAACCTCAATATTTCATTTTCAAATTTTAGTTCTTCACGGCTTCACCATCACTCACCTATTTGGACTTCAATCTTCTTTCTTTGTCTTTGATATCATTCATCTCTCTTCACCCTTCAATTTTTGCCTTTGGCTTCACCTTCATCGTCCCTCATCAGTCCTCACAGGCATCACTCTTCTCTGTTCTCTCCCTCACACATACTCGACCTATGCGCTCGAACCGATCCAGAGAAGAGTTGAGAGTCCAAAGTCCAGAACCACGATGACAGTAGTTCTAGTCTTCCAGATTCCGATCTCGTGCTCCCAATCAGCAATTGACCTCTGAGGAGGAAACTTTCACAGTTTAGCTTCTGTTCACTCAATCCTTTGTTTCTGACCATAGCTCTTATACAGTAGCGATCTCTTGCTTTTCATTCCTTGATTTGTTTCATTGAGTCTTTCCTTCTCCATCTCGTGCATGGTCTTATTGATGGAGATGGAGGCTCAAAGTCATTTTTCCAGAGATTCTCTACTTTCAAGATTGTTGCATGGGTGAGTGGTATGAAGCCATGAATACCCACGTTACCCTTAAATGAATACCGACTTAAGAAGATAGTAATCAAGCACCATAAAAGCCAACGTAAGAAGACGGTAGGCGAGCAGATGCAAGAAGAAAGAAGGGATGATGGTTAGCAAACTCAAGCACCGTACGCGAGCAAGAAGGAAAACACAATCTCCAGTTAGATTCGCGAAGACGAGAAGGTGGTGAAGAGCTCATTCATGAAGACTCGTGAATGCTAAAGGCAGAGCAAATTCGTGCACTGGTAGAGATTGAAGAGAGAGAAGATTGACAAAACATTACCCAACATCCGCCAACACTCGTTACAAAGCTCCACCAGCAGCTTCTCTCCCAACGCTCGTTTCTCTCACAACGCCCATTCACTTTTTTTTTAATCCAAACAAAATTTTGATGGCATTTACCATCTCAACTTAGGTTAGAGCCATCCCAACCTAAGTTATAATGTAATCCAAACACACACATATTCTCCATGGCTTTCTGTAAGAATGTTTTGCTAAATCAGGTTAGAATGTCTAGTTGGAGATGAATTTCATAGCCTTTGTTTTGTCCATGCATCTTTTTAATGAAGTGATCAAAATAGAAGATGAAGAAGATAGATCATGTGAAGAATTAGAAGAAGATTCTGAAGAGGACCCTATTAAAGAAGTTTAGTAACAGCATCTTCTTCTCTGCCATCTTCTTGAAAATGTATTTAAAATGTATTGAAAATGTATGTGGCTGGAGAAGGATGAGAAAGAGATGTAATTAAGTGGGTTTAGTACGTATCATGTGGTTAGTAATGTGATATACTTATTAATGTACATGTTTTGATGATAGACCGTCCCAGACGTTATCTTTTTCGGGATATACGCGTTTTCATGAAACTAAGGTCATATGATCCCAAGCTGTCAATAATTTCATGGTATATAACATGTTTTCATGATAATAAATAACAATTTACTAGAACAGGACATAATGATGCTGTGACTCTAATATATCCAACTAAACATATGACACTTACATGAAAAACATTTATTTATATGATAATCATATCTATTATATTTGACACTCATGTAGGCTTGAGGTGCAAGGGTATAAACTTTGAATGCTAGGTTACAGGCTTAGAGTATAAAGATATAGGTGTTGGATGCAAGGTTATATGCTTGGAGTGCAAGGGCATAGACATTGGGTGTAAGATTATAGCCAGGCTTATGGTGCAAGATGCAAGAGTATATGCTTTGAGGGCAAGGCGCAAGCAAGGGTATAGACATTGGGTGGAAGCAAGGCTTAGAGTGCATGGGGCTTGGAGTGCAAGAGCATAGGCTTTGGTTGCAAGGTATGATAAGCTTTGAGTGCAAGAATATAGTTATCATGAAATTTAGAGTCACTGTCATTTATGTGTTCTTTGTATGTTAAAATTACATTTTATTATTTATAATTATCATGTAATTGCTTGTAATTACATGTAATTATTGATAGTCATCATGAAAAATTGGGAACACTTACAATAAATTCCTCCTAGTTTATCATGAAAGATTGGGAACACTTACAATAAGTTCCCTCTCATTTATATATTTTTCACATATACCAAGTCATATTTACCTATAAATGAAGCTCATTCAACAGTTTTACATAGATTACAATTGAATTTTCCTTGTACGACAAGTATATATCAAGGAGAAAAATGAACAACAATTTCAATGAAAAATATTAATTCCCATAGTTTTGATCTATCTTCCTGCCAAGTATTAAAAAAAGATATAGAACAAAAAACAAATGAAAGGGATGGCCATAAATATATTTCAAAATACAATCACATTTTCATTCAATCTTTTAGGAGAATCTCTTGATCAACATTTTCTTGTAGATCACTTGAGTTATGATATGTATGAGTTGAATCTACAAGAGCCTCTTGACTTCAACTTTCTTCTTCTGCCATAAAGACATTATCATCAGACTCCCCCTTAGACATGCACCATAAATAACACTATCAATATCACAACAAGCCGTATAACAATATTTCACTTTTACTCAGGCGTATGTTTATGAACATTATGTGCATTGGATTACTTTATTGTCACACCATATTGCAATTGGTTGGCTTATTTATATCATTCTGGTAACAATGACATTTAGGAGAAACACATGCATATAAATCCAAAGAATGGCATTCATGAAGTTCTACATCATAAAATTTTGTCTTGTATAAATGAAGACAAGTAAATGTAAAGCACTAATACTTTGTGTAGAACTCCATAAACTTTAAAGACTCAAAATTCCGAGGATCAAGTCATATGTAAAAGGTAAATATCAGAAATTATTACAAAGAATAACAAGATATAAAAGTGATTCAAAATGCCTTTGGCTTTATGGTTTACTTTGAAGTAACAGTAGTGAAATGACTGATATGACTTCAACAGGTGACAGTGGAGATTGCACCAATATCTTCTAAATAGAAAGCAGAAGTGCTTAGTTAGAGAGTGCTTAAAAAAAAAAAGCTTCTGAGTCATGCAAGGGTTCAGAATACTTTATGAATACCACATTCATAAAGAGGAGCATCATAATCATAGCTTGGAGCAATGAATGGACCCCCAGCAGTTCAACCAAAATTTTTTCCCCCATGATTCTGGAACAAACAAAACAAATGAACTCAATCTCATAATTTAACATGTAATAATTAACAAAAGATAAACCTGTCTGGATAAACCTCGCAACTGAAAATGCCATGTGTTCAGCAGGTCAGTGAGGAACTGGACCTCCAAACTCAGCAAACCTACAAGTACAACCGAGTAACACAGGCAATGAGCAGGTTAGATGATAACTCAAGTTAGTATATTTCTTGTTGTTAAGGAATCTTTTTTTTTTTCCTCCCCTTTTTTGGACAAATGCCAAATGAAAGAAAAAAAACAACTAATGCAAGTAATACCCAAGCAATGGAATTTCTTGTTTATCTACAACTACACATGCACAGTGCTCAAGAATTTGGGGCTAAACCCCACTCTCACTCTCTCAGTAAGTTTTTAAGGCAACTTGAGAAGTAAATAACATGGTGACAAACAAAAACTACAAATTATACCAGCCAGTCCGAGCTTCTGCCCACATCTTTGGTTGTAGTCCTTATTTGGGGAGAAAAAAATACAATAGAAGTCGTTGCATGTGTTAATTCGTCAAAATTCATATTGAAATTAGGAGGCAATGAGGAAACGTATGAAACCTCAAGTACAATTCTGAAAGGAAGACAAGACACAACCAAACCAAAATATGCGAAAGTTGAGCTCGCATACAAATAATGCCTTCAGGCGTCAGCATCTACATTCAAAAGGGTAAGTAGCTCACCACCCCCGCGCCCCCCCCCCCCCCCCCAAAAAAAAAAGGGCTTTCCCTTTTACTAGCTGAGTGTCGGTTTTTTGAACTGTCACAATAAAGCCACGCCAAGCCAGTAAATGAGCCACAATCATTCATTTACTCCAAGACTGACATGGATTCAACATACTGTTGTTGTCCATCAAGTCTAAGCCAACGATGACATTGCTGCTCTAAACTCCCAAACCTTGGCTTTTCTCAAGTCGCTCTCGCCCAAAGATAGGCCCTACCCACTGATTTTCCCCTCTCCTTTCTGATTGAGTCATCCATGGGGATGAACAACGCTGTCAAGAAGAAGAAGAGAACAAATATATAATAATAATAATAATAATAATAATAATAATAATAATAAAGGAGATGCCTGGGGAAGTTGTCGTCGGAGGACTTGAGGGTGGCAAAGGAGTTAGTTGACAGAGGAAGAGGCTTCAGCGCCGGCTTGCCGAGGCAGAGGTCAAGATACCTCATGTGCCAGTACCTTGCCGCGGCAGAGGAAGATGGGAAAGAGAGAGGGAAGGTAAATGTGGAAGAGAGAAGATTTTTGGTTCGTTCATCCAATCTTTTCTTGATATTATATTGAGTTTGATCCTGCAACCTGAGTTAATCTTGGATAATAATTTTCCTTTTAAGAAAGGACTTTGCCAGCCATTTTTTCTAATTTTTTTAACATTATTTTTTATTTATTTATTTTAGTTTGAACTCTTATCAAACAATTTATCATCATAATAAAATTATAAAGAAGAATAAAATTAAAAACTCATATTTTTTAACAGCTTTTAAGATATAATAATTATCATTTATTATTTATTAATAAGTGTATATTTTATAGAAAGAATTTTAACTAAGGATGAGGAATGTAATTTAATTATTAGTGAATTTAAAAAAAATTAAACATTTAATTATTAGTGAATTTAAAAAAAATTAAAACTTCAATCCAGTTCAGTAGGATTAAAGTAAAAATAATTTTAATGGTAGAGAAATTAAAATACACATTCACTTGTTAATTTTTTTCTGATATAAAATTATTAATTGTTAATTTTCTTAGTTCACTTATTAATTTATCAATATAAATTGTAAATTACATAAATTAATTTATCAATAATTATATAGTACTTGACATCAGTTATTCAATCACAAGCAGCAACATTAATTGTTAAATTGTTATGTTAGTTGTAAATTATTAACAAGTCTTATAATTTATAACTGATGTTAATAAATTAATAAATAAAGTTAGTAAATTAACAAATTTATATTAGAAAATTATCAAATAAAGTAAAAAAATTAACAACTAATGATTATACAAATTGGACAAAATTAACAAGTGAAGGTATTTTGATATTTTTACTGTTGAAATTATTTTTACTTTAGTTCTCCTAGATTGAAATGAAATTTTGTATAACTTTTGAGATCCATTAATAATAAAATAACATCCCTAATTCTTAATTGCAATTCTCCTTATTTTATATCATGGATTGGAAGAGTGTCAAGTTTAAGTGTTTGTTTGAATTTCAATTTATATTTGAAAAAATTATATTTGAAGAATCTAACCATTTATTAAATTTGATAAAAATACATTTCACGTAGAGTGATTAGGTAACTCATAGAGTCAGAAAAACGGGCTGAGCCCGTAGGACCTACCCGTTTAAGCCCATATAATAGGAGGGCCGGGCTTACAATTAAGACCTTAAAATGAAAAATGATCTCAAACGAACTGGCCCGTTTAGGCCTTAATTTAAACGGGCTGGCCTTAAAGGGCCGAGGGCCAGCTTGTTTAAGCCCTTGAATTTTTTTTATTATGGACATAATAAGTGAAAAATTAGTGGGCTGGATAAAAATTGTGTAAGTTGAAACCCAAATTTACTAAAGGACAAAAGGAGGAAATTTAAAAAAAAAAAAAGCCAACCCTAAGTTCTTGTTCTTAGAATCTCAGTCTCATTTTCGTCAGTCTCACTGTCTCAACTTGTGGCTTCGTATCTTGCGCAGTGGGTGGCCGGTGGCAGTGGCAAACGGCGATCTTTCTCTTTCAGACTTCATTCTTTGATCTTTCTGACTATCTTGAGGCTCTCATCTCGCGCTCACTTCACTGTCGCTTTCGTTTGTTACTGTAGTAGCTCTACCGTTGACCGTCGTCCGATCTGCATTCCTAATCTTGTTCTCAGTCTCACTTTTGTTAGTTTGTGGCTTTGTGTGCAATGGGTGGCAGTCATCTTTCTCTTTCAATCTTTGATCTTTCTGACAAGCTGAAGACTTGAGGCTCTCATCTTGCTCTTGTCCATTGCTGTAGTAGCTCCTAGCTCGAACCAACATCGTCTGATCTACATTCCAAGCTGCTAGCTGTTGTGTTTTTCGCACAGCTCTCCATCGACCGATCTCCCTCCTCAGACATTCAAATGCTGTAGTTCTAATCCCTACCGTGTGAGTATTTTGTTTATTATTTATTGTAGATAATGAAGATGAAGAAGAAGAAGAAAGTCTTGATATTTTTGCCCCTGATGAGCCAGCTATAACTGGATCACAATCAAATTTTGTTGAGCTTGATGATAATGAAGAAGAAGAAGATAATGATGATGCTACCAATATTTGAGTTATTGAGTATTTAAATGCATTTATTTAAATATTTTCATGAGACTATGGTTCTTGGTGATGGATACTGTACTGGATAGATTCAGCTCATCTTGGCTTCATTGCATGCTATCATTTTCATTTAGATTGTGTTTCTAACATCTAGCTCATTTAGATGTTTTGTTTTTTTAGATATTGCTACTTGTTGAGTTTATTACTACTTGTTTATTGTGGTTAGTTTGATTGTTTATTATTTATTGTTATTTAGCTTATGTCATAAAGGAATGATTGAACCAATTTTAATTTAAAAAAATAAAAAAATAGGCAAAAGGGTTTGAAGCCCTCAAGGCCCCGTTATGCTTAGGGCCAAGCTTTAAGATTAAGCCCCTCAAAGAGAATTCAGGCTTAAACGGGCTAGCCTTTTTAGGCCCGAGCCCTTCAAGGGCCAGCTCTATAGGGCCAGGCCAGCCCGTTTTTTCCAGCTCTAGTAACTCATTAGTGAGAGTGAGCAAATATATCCCTTCACTTTAAAAAAATTGCAAGTTGTGCGTATAAATTTTGCAACTTTACACATTCTATTATTGAGGTTTTACATCCTTTGGACTAAATAAAAAAATTTGATATTAAAAAATTATTAAATATATAATATTTTAATGTTAAATATAATATATGAAAAATATATCTTACATAAAAGACCATATGAACTTATTTAATATATATATTTTTTAAAAATGATTATTAATTTGCTTACGTGATTACAATTCTAATCCTAATGTAATTATATTTTTTTTAAAAAAAATTATTAATCATGTCGCACTCCCCTGCTCCGGATCTCGCCACTGTCCACGTTTGCTTTGAGTGTAACCCAAAATAACGGCATCGAAGATGACGATAAATCACTGGCCAAAAAAAAAATGACGATAGAACTATAAATGTACTTTATTTGAGAAAGAGGACGTGGATGCTGACGTGGTGTGACCCACGAGAAAGATTCCACAAGAATCCGCGGCAAAGCTCAAGAAGAATCGACATTTATCCAGAAACTGGGATCGCAAAATATGTCCCTCGAAACTTCCCGAACTTTCACTTCCTTACAAATATACCCTTCAATCTTTTCATCATTCACTAACACGTTCAAACGCAAACCGAATTCGCAAATCCACAAAGCTTTTGACGCAGAATGAGTTCTCCATACTTCAGAAGTTACTTGACCGTGCCTTCTTCTTCTTCTTCTTCCCACTCGCGACCAAGCGTAAAGGGAATACCAGTGGCCACGCCAAAAACGAAGGCATCTCCCAAGGTGGTTTCGATTCCAGTTCATTTTGTCGGGTCTAAGCGAAGTAGATCCGACTCCGCTCTTAAGATCCAGAAGGTTCTGAGAGGGTTCCTGGCGAGGAAGAATTTGAAGAAGATTGCCGCTATAAGCAATGAGGTCCACCAAATCGAGAGTAGGATTTCGGATCAAGAGACGATCGATTTGATTAGGAGGGATTCCAGAGAGCGGTTGAGGATTAGCGAGACTGTCATGAATTTGCTCCTCAGGTTGGACTCTGTTACGAGCGTCGACTTCGGTGTCAGAGGTTGCAGGAAGTCAGTCATCAAGAAAGCCATTGCATTGCAAGAGAGGTTGGATCTAATCGCTTCCGCTCCTGATTATCATGCTCAAGATCAAGGTGGAGTCGAGCCTGAGGCAGATACAAATGTTGTATCACAGGAGATGAACTCGGATTCGCATGATGAAGCAGGGGATTGCGATCGTTCAGAACAAATTTCCGAGATTCAATCCCTGGTGGAGCAATGCCATGACGAAATGGCCGTTGATCGTTCGGAGCTGCGTGAAAATGTGGAAGCGATGCCTGTTTCTCTTCCACCAGATTCTGAGGTTGTATCAGGAAATCCAGAAGAGGAAGTTTCAACACTTGCCGTTAACCCTCCTCTAGAACATGAGACGATAACGAATGGATTGAAGGAGACTTCCAACGATCATTTCTTGCCCGATGACCATGTGGAAACAAATCTCGCCGGCGAACAGTCCGGGACTTGCGCAACTACTGGACCATCTTCGATTGAAGAAGATAGGGAAATAAATTCATTGCCAGATAATGAGGGGAGAGATATGGTTGCAACTGAATCTGAAGACGCAGCAAGAGATGGCGGGAGAAAAGAAGAACAAAATGGGGACAGGGAGCTATTAGAAAGGATGATTGAGGACAACGAGAGGATGATGGGGCTGATGGCAGAGCTGTTCGAGAGGAATGAAATTCAAACGAGACTGATTAGTTCTTTGTCCGAGAGAGTTAAGCATTTAGAGAAAGCATTTGCATGTGAGAAGTTGAGGAAGAAGAAGAAAAGGAATGCTGCTACAACTGCTGATGGATCTGAGAAATTGCCAGATACCAAGAAATGTGATAAGAAACACTGAATATTTTACAGTTTCATTTAGCCCGTGCTTTGGAGAAGGAATGAATTTGGACTGTAATATTTTGTGATGTTTTCTTGAATTCTGATTCAGCCTAGTTTTGTTTGTAATGTTATATTGCTGTTCCCAGAAAAGCGGCTTGCATGTTAATTTTAGTTATTATTGGATAATTTCTAAATGCATTCAGTAATGGTTTTGGAAACTCCCTTGTTATTGTGGATGATATATTATATATATACACATACTATTATTCTCAATCACGAATAAAACCCACATAAAGCACGAAAAGCTACATTTGAATAAACAAGATTCACACCAACTTTCTTAATATTAATATCAATTATCCAAATTAAAACCAAAATATATAAATATATATAATCCATGCATATGGGAGAGAGTTTTACATTAAGCTTAAAATAACCCTCATCTTTTATCCAAGATTAAGATTGGCTATAAAACATAGGTGGGGTTAAAAAACACAGATAGATATGGTAAAAAAAAATAAAAAAATTATCAAATTAATTTTTTTTCAGAAAAAAATTGACCAGTCAATTACCTAGAAAATCAGTATCCAATTTCAATTTTGAAGGGCTTTGCTTATTTACAGAACCAGGTTCTACATCTAAAGTTGAATACATGACAACATTCCACCAGAGGATAGCATTTAATTTATAAAAACATTGCCACTTGTCCCTCATAAGTGGTGAAAGGAGAATTTTCATACAGAATTACAAAATTGCTTAAGATGTCAAGTGGGTCTGAAAGAGTTGTGTGAAGGTACCCCCCATGATGCACTCCAAATCAGAAGAAGACAGAGAAATCTCTTTGGCAATAAGATGCACGGCTTCTTTGGCTCCCTTGTACCCACATTCAGGAACAGCAAAGGGAAAATCACTGCACAGAACATACCAAGGTTAAGATTCTATGGAAAAACATTTCAAGGTTTCTTTTTTTAATAATTTTTAGACTAAGCACAAAAAAAAAAAAAAAAAAAAAAAACAAGAAGGGCATTACCTGCCCCACATTACACGGTTAGCTCCAAAGCTAGACAGAAGTTGGGATAATAGAGGACAAAGATCCAGATACGGAAACTGCAATCTTGACACTCTGAAAAGTGCACTGAATTTCACGTATACCTATCAAAGTTTTATGAGACATATAAGAACAAAGCAAGGATTTGAACAATTATATCCTGATCCCAGGTAGATCCAATAGCAGGTTCAAAAATATTGTATAAGTCATTTCTAATTGTCTCACAGAAATTAAGGAGAGATGGTTAAATTATTGGTGTTATCTAAAAAGAAAATAAACCTCCCAGTTTTAACCTCATTAAATCAATATCTTTAAAAATACTCTCTCTCATACACCAACTTGATTTTACTCATAGAATATTGGTAAAGGGTAAATTGGAATAAAGTAATTAATGGTCCGTCTTTTTATATAAAGTGACTTGCAAAACAGGCTATCAATTTCTTTTAGAAGATCACTCATATACAAGACTAAAGGAAATACAAATTAGAACCTCAATCATAGAGCTCTGCACTTTTCTTCCAAACAATATTTCCAGCAATACAGTAGAAGTTCATTTGATTGCAAGTTCGAGAAGCCTAGGTGAAAGGGAGGGGTCCCCCAAAAAAAAAAAAAAAAGGCACCTACCTGAGGGAATCTTGATAGATTCAGAAGCTGAGAGAAGACAAGACCTTCCTCATCGTTTCTGTGACATAACATTCAAATAAGAGTAGATTTCTCGGCCTTAAAAGACATAATAACTATAAGTTAGCTCACGTTGGTGGTTTGCAGAAGGCTAAGTGATCGAGCAATACAACCGTTGATGGAAAATCTGCACACAGTTGCTCGATTTCTGAAATATGAAGATCAAGTCCCTGAAAGAAACCAACCAATTCGTTCATACAGTTTGGACAACCTCACATTGGGAAAAAGAAAGCAAACAAAACAAAAAAAGGTCAAACACCAGTGAGGAAACGCAGCAATGCCATTATACAAAAGTAGAAATATTCTGTGAATCTAAGTATGCACATCATGTATGGAGGCCAAGAAACTCTACAAGATAATTCTTCAGCGTCTCTAAGTCAGGTAATAACATGCACCTTCATGCACATGAATCCCACTGGCACTTTGAGTTCTCCCGCTTTTGAAAAAATAGCCTTTCCAATTTCATTTGTCATCTGCAAATGATATCAAGCATGACACTAACAATTATTAAAAGATGATAGTTGGATTTTAAAAAAAAAGGAAAGACTTCCATTACATTACAGTCTTGCTTAGAATTTGCGTTAAGGGTATGGTTCTTTTCTTACTAAACTTGTTGATAATATGTTTTAATTGTAGATTTTTTAAAAAAAAAATATGACCAGAGATGCATTCGAGATTAAATTATAGGGAAATAAAAATTATACAAAGTTAAGGGAAAATGACGGAGAGATCCCAAGGGAACTAACCAATTCAAATTAAATTTGAAGTACCAAACTCCAAAAATTTACAAATTCAGCTCTCAATTTTTTAACTTCATTGTGATGAATTTGCAACTTGTATTTCAAATTTTAATAGGGAAAATAAATTTATTTATTCTCCAACTACATTAACATTTGGAAAACAAGTTGCAAAATTGAGACATACTAGCAAATTCCTGAATTTGGCACTAGGGACCTATCTATCATTCTCCCAAATTTTAAGCACCACTTATGTGGCATTTAGAAATGGGATAAGGCTTGTTGTTATTGTTGTTATTGTTGTCATTGTGTGGTATTTAGAATTAAAAACAACTTTTCATTCATTACAGTTAAACCAAGTAAAAAAGCATGTAGAGAGGAGAAGAAAAATAACTGGATAGTAAGGGGGGAAAAAACTTATTTTCTTTTCTTATGCCTTGAAGATGGACCTAGGGAAAGTGAATGGGTATTTTTGCAATTTTAACAGAATAAAGAGATTAAGAGAAATATAATTTATGAAATAAATATTCAGATCCTCCAATCAAAGCTCATCACAGAAAACATCAAATTAACAGAACCTAAATGCAGAACACTGAGAATACAAAGTTGTGGGCTACAGGCAGCTGAAAATTAAAATTCCGTAAGCAAAGATGTAGCAGATAGAGCAGGGATAAAGAAGATCACACCAAGTAATTATCATGGTTCAGCCCTCTTTGACCCACATCTAATACCCTTGAATCAAGATATTTTCTTTGCTGTAAATTTAACAAAAAGAAGGGTTGGTTTCCGAACTCACTACCAACTTCAAGGTTTTAAATAACCAGGAACTCAAGGTTTTCTAGCACATCTACAACTTACACTCTTTGGCTTTCCACTCAGCTCACCCTAAATTGATTTCATCAAGAAAGATTTTTGCTATTAGAGAAGAAGATCCCTTATACAAAACGGACTACAACAAAGTTCAAACTTAAGCCCTTGAGAGCTAGATAAGACCAGATGTTTAGCTCACAAACTGATTTACTGTTCAAGCGCTAATTTTTTTCATCACCTTTTTGTTCTCTCTCTATCATCTTGCTTCTCCCTTCTTAATGCTCAACAAAAAAAAGAAAAATCTTTTGAGAATGTCACCTCCAAGCATTTTGGCCAATGGCTTATTTTGATAGAAGGATAAAGCTAATTTCGATATACTTCATTTCCAATCTTCCTTTCTTTCTCAGTTTATCTGTAGCTGCAACTTGGAATGTAAAAAAGAAAATGCCCATTGCTGCAGAGACATTGGAATGAAAGATGCAGCACAAGAGCACATTTTTCTCCTCTATTGCGTCAGAGGAGAGATCATGAGAGATTAAATTTGGCCTTCATAATTGCTTCTCTTTCTACCAATGCAACAACATCCATGGTGGATGGACGAAGGCCTTTGTCAAATGTACAAAACAACTATTCAAGCTTCTAGTATATTTTCTTATCACCTATACACTAAGAAATGAACAGGGGCAGATGCATGTATAAGGTTGTGGGGGCAGCTACCCCAACAAGATTATTTTTATACTTACTGGTATTACATAACATTTAAGATAATCAATAAATGCCCCCAATGTTTGAATTTTTTATTCTAGTAGTATTATACTTTAACCCCCTCTTTCAATTTTTCAAGGTTCAATTTTACCCCTCTCTAGCTCTACTTTGCCACCTGCTTACCTTCTTTGTCCTCAAAGTCTTTCAAACTTTTTCATTACTCCCACAAGTTGCAGACTCACAACACCACCCACCACACTTATAGCTTCTTTGTTAGAAAAAGGCCAGATGCCCATTTCAGCTTTTTTGCTAGAATTTCTAAGATTCTGGCAGGGCAAGTCTAGCCAACCTTCTTCAAATCATCCTCTAACTTCTGGTGAAAGTGAATAGCGAATTTCATTTGCTTTTATATATTCAAAAGTTTTATGTAAAAGAACCCATCACTGTGAATATATTACTAAATCTTTGTTCTCCGGGAGACCATGATTTCACTATAAAATCTAAGTATTATTTTTATTTAACCATCTGAATACGACTTACAGGACCATGTTTATTTATTAATATTTTACTTCTTTTATATGAAATGAATTTATGCTTTATATATATTTTAAAATATATTTTTTTAACATACCAATGGAAAAATTTCTCAAGAAAATTTACATCAAAACAGGCAAATGAAAAAAATACAATATTAGATCCATTTATGGAAAAAAATTTTTGGAATTTGATTTGAGAAAACTTCCTAATGATTCTGGTTTAAGGCCAAAAATTTCAAATTATCATCTAAATAATAGAAATAAAATTAGAAGATATTAGGAACAAAAAAATCATTGTCAACCCTAAAGAAAATTTGAGAGTATCTCTCATAAATTTAATTCAAATTGATATTTGAAATATGGAATTGGTTAAAATAAGTCAAGAAAAAAATGTTGCACTTTGCTCATGTTGCTATCTTATGAGATCAAATGTTGGAGAACATAAAGGTAGTGGTGACGTTTTTAAAGCATATTATATTCTTCAACACTGATCTCATAAGATAAAAACATAAGCACTTTTGACTATTTCTAATTAGTTCTCATATTCCAAATATTAATTTAAATTAAATCTATGAGAGGCATTGCAAGATTGTCTTTATGAAAAAGTAACCTCTTTTGGTTGACAATGATTCTTTTATTTCTAATATCTTTTAATTTTATCACTACCATTTGGATGATAATCTTAATCTTTTGGCTTTAAACTACGATAATCATAAAGGTTTTTCCAAATCAAATTCCAAAAATCTTTTTTTTCATAAATGAATGCAACGCTCAATTTAAATCATTTGGCTGTTTTGATATCAATTTTCTTTTGAGAAATTTTTCCATTGCTAGAATCTAAGTCTAAGAAACAAAAATATAATTTAAGATATACTTAAATCAAATTACAAATGAGAAATTATACTTCCAAAAGAAGAATAAAAAGCATAAATTGATTCAATATAAACGAAATAAATCAAAGGAAAATATTAATAAAAACTTGGTCCCCATAGGCCAATCCATTTTGCAAAATGACAAATAACACTTGCATTCTATATTGAAGCTAGGGTCCCCATGAGCACAAACATTCAACAGTATATTTATAGTGGTAGGTCCATTTGCATAGAACTATTAAATATATCAAAGCAAATGAAATTCTCCATTCAATTTTACCAAAAGGCAGATGATATGAACAAGGTTGGTCAAACTTGGACTATTGGAGTCTCGGAGATTCTAGCAAAGAAGAAGAAACGAGTCCCCTGTCCTTTTTCTAGCAAAGGTGATACTGTGGTGGGTAGGTGTTTGGGTGACACTGCAAGTTTGCAATCAGCAAGGGTAAAGGAAAAGTCTGAAAGAATATGACAATAAAGAAGGTGAGCAGGTGGCAAAAGAAATCCCATAGAAAGGGAAAAAAAACCTACAAAGATCAAAAGAGGGGAGAAAATATAATAACATTAAAACAGAAAAAACCATACCCTACAGAAAATCATTATGTACTGTGATAGTTGGAGCTCATGCAAGTCATAGAAGTGATCTGTGATCATTTTGTAGTTTGCTGTTACTTGAGAAAATCAAATAGAATGGAGGAGATAAATGTCACCTGTAATTACAAGTGTACATGAATAGAAAGAAATGATGGTCATTGCAAGAAAAATAAGAAATGAAAAGCTAAGAAGAAAAATCCTAGTGCAGTCAATGTTTTCTCCCAACATTTATAGTCCACATGTATAGTTGTTCATGAGTCTTAGGGGATGTCCACCTAGCCCATTAGCCGAGATGGATTGTAGACAATGCATAGTTTATCTATTTTTCAAATTTTAATTTTTTCCTTATTGGTTTGGTATTGGGCCAAACCCAGCTTGATGCCAAACCGGCAAGGCCCAAGTTGTTATCCAAACATCAAGCTTGGGCCCGGGTGTTTATCAAACCAAACGCCAAGCTAGGGTCAATCCTAGCTCATGGACACATCGTAACCATCTTGCTTTATTTGGGATGTTGAAAGCAGTTAGATGTTTACGGATCATTTATTGGTTTATTTATGTGAATCTATTTTAGAAACCCTGCTTTACAGCACACAATAGAAAGGAGAGAAATGAAGGATGCCAAAAGAGGTATCGAGTAAGTTCAGTCTCCCCCCCTCCTCTAGTATTGGGAGTGTAAATCACAGATTGGCAAAGTAATGATTGGAAGTCATTCTTGTTTTGCCGCAAGGAACACTTGAAGAAGAAAACAGTTTTATATAGGAATACAAAATACGCAAATCCTTACATTCTAGAAACACAGAAAAGGCTTTGGGCAAAAAAAAAAAAATTATACAATAACATAAGCATGTAGCAAGAAAGAACAATCAAATAGAAACGTAGAATAAGTTGTAACTCCACAAAACATATGATGCTCACCAAACCAATTCAAAGAAAAAGTTGACCACATAAATCAAAACAAAAGGATCAAGGGGATGGTCTAGAAAATAGGATTGAGTGGGATTGGTTATCATTTGTGTTGGCTGGAACCTGAGCTTATAAAGGATATTATGGAATTTAAGGTGTCAGTAAGGAAGCAATGTAAGAAATACAGGCGACTGTTCATTCTTTCTAATAGTATGGTAAATGGCACTAACATATTTGTTGTTTATTAACTATGTTTTTAGTAGTTTATATATTTTTTTATGCTGCAAATATTTTTCCCAATCTTTTTCCTCTTGGTCCTACATCATTGCCCATGGAACAGGAAGTGCTGCAATATTAGGATGATAAGAATGTGCAAGAGCGTATCAAGTTGAAATGAAGTAGGGTGCGAGGATTTCTCATGCCCTTCCTAGTGCTCCCACAAAACCATTGCCTCCACTTTCTTCAATTATTCACTATTAAGCACATTGTTTAACTTTGATCGGATTATTTAATGTGTCTTACTTTCTAATTTCTTCTTAGTTTGCTTTTCAAAATATTTTATGATCTTAAAATTGTGTCAAGGATTCCTATATTATTTGGGAGGGCTGCAATTCTCTTCCATTTCACTGCAAATTCCTCTGCAATCAGTAGTTCATTTGCAAATATATTAACATAATGTAGGATCCTGGATACAACTCTAAAATCCCAAACCATTATGAAAAACAAACTAGTAAAAAATCAGAAAATAATATGCCTTAAACAATCATAACAAAGTTTCAAAAATAAAATAAAATCTACATGCCAGGTGAATAGTTGAAGAAAATTGAGGCAACTATTCCATGGACATCATTAGCCTCCCACATATGCTAAGCATTGAATGGACATCATTAGCTTTTATAAGAACGTGCATCTCTCTTGTTCCAAGTGTAGATGTTAGAGTGTTAAATGCATTAATCAATTCTTTTCGAAGATCCCAGTGGAGCCTTTGGCATTTAAACTCTAACAATGGACCCAATCCTATACTTTGAACCTTCCCCTTTACTCTTGTTCTGATTTACACAGTCAACTACTTCTTTGACCTGATTTGACAAGCACCACATGTTTAGTGGAATTACAATTTTTTTAAATTTTTTTTTTTTTTTTTTACCATTCTTCTTTCTCATTACGTGGTATTTTATTGTATACTGTTTTTTTTTTATTTTGTTTAACTCTAAGAGACTCCTCCATGCTTCTAACATGTAAGGATTTACATCTTTTGCATTCCTATATAAACCTTTGTTCTTGAAATATCCCTTCCTGCAAAACAAGGGGGAAAACATCTTTGCTTTTGATCACTACTTTCCAATCAATGACTCGTAAAAATTAAACAAAGGTCATAAACTTATCCAATGCCTTACCATATCTCTCCCTTTGCATTCTCTTTTTCTCTAAATCAGATTCACATAGTTTGAGGCCCTTGAGTGTCAGTATTGTATTATCAGGGTCCTTCCATGTTATTTTTCCTTTTTTTTTTTTGTTTAATTCACGGTCAACACCTTGCAGCTTTCATTTCCAATAATGAAAGCTACCAAAGTCACGCAAAGATGGAATATTAAAGTAAAAAAACAACGTCCATTCTCCCAAACGTTGTTAAAGATACCCAATGATAAATCTCCCGCACTTATTATTTTTACAATGGCTAATATATATTGCTTAGGCCCGCCAATAATTTGGCAAATCCAATAAAATTTCTTTTACATGCCCAAACATATTTTAAGCCCAAACACAATTTAATTTTCAGATTATTTTAAGCCCAAATATAAGCTATCCAAGAATATTAATGAAAATTAAAACAAGCAATTCCCTACAGTGGTCTCATACTAGAAGAGAGGAAATTTCTTGACACTCCATAAATGGAATTCTATAATACGTATAAAAAAATTTGAAAACATATTTTTAAACAAGTTATAAAATAGTATTAATTAAAAATTATTCTTTTTCCTTTTGCAAATCCATTAAGAAATAAGAAAATAAATGTATTTTGCAACTCTGAATCTCACTTAAACCTTGAAGCATTATATAACAAATATTATAGATCACTCATTATTATTAACAGTGAAAACGCTATTTATAATTGAAACAAAATTTTTTATCAACGTCATTCTAATATGCTTTGTTATTGGGGGCCACAGTAAGGAGGGAAGGGATTTAAATCCTATTTGTAGAGAGGTAGATCAAGGGGTCCAAGTGCTCCCAGGAGGGGGGTCTTGTGTATTTGAATGAAACCTTGCTTCTCTTCCTGCCTTGGACAAAGTATATAATTAATCATCCTAATGCAAGTGCCATGTTCTAGCAAAATTTGATGTTACAGCCTGACAATTAAGCATAATTAGTTTTCTAGTACAGGTTGCTCAAAATGATTCTTGCTAATGGAGACAAATGCCACTAATATTTAGCATTTACCACATCTGAGAGAAAAGATAGACTTTCTTCTCTTCCCAAACAACATTCAAATGATAAGTAAAACCTTCTGGACACATTAGAGTAAGATAGAAGGTGTTTTTTTTTTTTTTTTTTTGAGTGGGGAGCTGATGTATTGATACCTAGCATGAACCTTGAATGAATACATGCAAATGAAGAAAGCAGAGTATACCTTTTCACCAGATGGCCACAGGTAAGGGTTAAACCGTACAGCACGATAGCCATCCTAGCAGAAATGAAATGAAAACTTCAGCAGTTTGTCTCAAACATAATCATTAATTCCAAATAAAGTACATATCCCTTGAGACCTGCAAAACAAGGTGTTCAAACTGCTTAATGCCACTTCCGTCACCAGCTGGATTAGCAAGGCAACAACCAACGAATTTGGTTGGGTATTTCTTCAGGACACTGTCCGATGAAAATAGTTGGGATGAGAAAGACTATGATGCACTTATTGAAGATGTCTGAAAATGAATACCATGAACCAAATGTACAATTGTGTCAAAATAGAAAATTCTACTCCACTACATGATTATGCAACTCAATGTCAAGCTAATATCATTGAGAAACTACGAACTTGATGTGCAGCAAAACAAACAAAACAATTAAATCACACATCTCATAATTGACTGTTATTCACCAGTGTCTGACAATATGTTTACAAAAATCCTGAGCAGATGGAAGATATAACCTCTTTACTAACAAAGAAGGCTCCTTTCTAAGCAGGAAGTGCTCATCATACACATAACTAGAACTGTTCCTTCCTTTCAGTAATTAATTTTGGAAATAGACAATAAAGGGTATGGATCAAAAACTGTATATCAAAAATTGCAAATTATTAAACTTGAATTAGAGTTTCTATTGTTACATGTATTTGAATATCCGTTGGGAAGAACAACTAATTATTGGTTGGAGAGGAAGGGAGGGGAGGGGAGGTGAAGGCTCCCCTTGTCCCATCTGAAATTTTCACTCCCCTCCCCTTCCCTCCAACCAAACAGGGGGCAAGAATTCAAGTTGAGGGAATTACTTTCCAAAAATCACTATTCACCATTAACATTCATCTTCCAGGCCTGTATAATAGCATATCCAAGATTTCAAAATATACTTGCTATAATTTTTCTTGATAATGATGCATCTCAACTCTTATCTTAATAGATCAACATATAGGTGTCTTTTTATTCATTAAGGTACCAAAGATTTTGAAATGTTCCAATATACTCTCGACAATGGGCTTAGAGACATCACCATGTGTCCTTATAAATTAAAGAAAGATTTAATTTGTTGCTACATGTACCCCCAATATTTTGCCCCTTTCTGGCATAGTAGAAACATGGTCTCGGACCATGACATAGTGGTTACTAGAAAACTCATGTTGATCTCAACTTAGCTTTGGTGCACCATCATGTCTTGGCAAGTTCTCTATATTACAAGTTAAATATATATATATATATATATATATATATTCAAACATTCACAGTGAACCAACAGATTCTATGGTTTTGAACAAAAATAAAATTATCAATAAAGTATTTTTAAAGCCTTTCAAATCATTGAACTGATGTAGATCAAAAAATTTAAGATTGATCAAGCCAATCGCCTTTATAACTAGCCAGGATGATGTGAACTTGTCATTCATTTTTGCAAAATACACATTACTCGATGTGATGTCAGTCATGATACAACCACATTTTTTGAAGGAACAGGTGTATTTTTAAAATCTGGGTTTTCCAACATGAGGGCTTTGTGGTATGAAATAGAGGCTGGCATAAGTTTTCCCTGCCTAAGATCTAAATATCTATTGTATTTCTAACACCGGATATCCTTTCTTCTTTTTTCAATTAGGGGAAAAAAATGTTATTTTTACATGTCAACATCAAAGTTCTATTCCTGTATTAATGGACCATTGAATTTTCAAGAATTTTTTTTACCTAATCTTCTCTCTCAATAACCTAATGTTTTCTTTCTCCAATTTACTATTGTTCTATTTCATTTCAAATACATCAGCTCCAAATCAGAAGGTTTCACAAATTTAAGTCACTCAAAATTACACCACTACTAGATATTCCACCCCACCAATTTAGGATCAGTATTGCCTAAAAGCTACAAGAGATCTGAGTTCTTGCATCAAACAATAAATAACTTGAAAATACCTTGTGACTAAACTATGATCAAACTTGTGATTGATTGGCTGCACAATAAGCGCACCATCTACCCTTGCTTCCTCCATGCACTGCGGAAAAAGTAAGTGAGTTCTTCTTCCTTTTTTTTTTTTTTTTTTGGGGGCCAAAGAAATGTGAGTGAACTTGTACAATATTAAAACCTAAATAGTTATGTATAAAGATAGGGTGTCAGGAAAAACTAATGCTTCCAAAACATGGAATTAGCTCCATTTCAAGGTAGAAGTAGAAGGTCCACAGATACTATATGGTCATGCAAAAGGTATACCAGCACAGAAGCTCAATCAACTCAAGTTGGAATGTCAGAAACCAAAAGAAAGAAAGAAGGCCCCAGAAAATTCTTGAAAGTAGAGAAGAAATAAGACTATACAGAATTGCATGAGGATATTAATACTCCGGTTAAAGAAAATGAAGTCATTCTATGCGATATAAAATCCAATCAATTTCCATATTTCGGCAATCGGAACAACACAGGGTTCGCACCCAGTTCATTCGAAGGGATAAAAATTAGAATAAAAGACAGCGAGATTGCAAAGTCGCAAAAAATATTAACAATTCGAAAGAGGCATACCTGGAGCAAAAAATCGACATGTCCGGGTAAAGTGGGTTCTTGTCCAGGAACGTAAGGGAATTTACCCGCAGCCTTCAGAGAAAAACAGAGGGGGAAATGCCATGAGCATCATCTGCTTAGTAATTTGATTATATAACTTTGCTTTCCTTGCTTTTGAAATTAAAAGTTTTCAAGACATAAACCTAAAAATTATCAAACGTTGTGTGATCGATCTTCACATTCAGGCTTATCCAGCACGGGAAATTTCAATGGGAAATTTCTCAAGAGTTACCTCGTCAGGAGACGCCCAAACATGCAGATGGGAGTCTATAATCTTGGAGGGTGATGGGGTTTTGCCTTCTGATTCACTTGCAGCCATTTTTGCAGAAACTCTTAAAGCGGGTTTCCTCGAACAGGAGTGACCACATCGCAAACCACTGCGGAGGAAGCAAGCATGCTTCGGACCAGTGACTGATATCAACGCAGTCAGCCTCAGCGCCATGTGGACTCGGATAAATTGCAAAATTTGGAGTACTCTTTATATTTGTTTAATTGATTTTGGGTCAAACTAGTCTTGAAATTTTGAATTTTTTTTTTTACCCATAAAACCTAAATTTTAAGCATTTTTTTACCAAAAATTCAAAGCTTTAATTAAAGTTGATAGGAATGGTAGAGCTTTTCATCACTTAAATCAAGAGCTTGAACAATAGTTCTTATCTATCTATAATTTAATTAAAAAAAAGCCTCTCTGTTGCTCTCACTATTTTAAAGGAGATATTCTTTATCATTGGCGAAACCTATTCTCATGCTTAAAAAATTAAAAAAAGCTTTACCTAAATTATTTCTACTTGTTTAATTACCAGTTGTCATTTTTTAACAAAAAAGAGTATTAACAACTAAAAACAAAACATATAATACAATTAGTGCAAATAAGAAGAAATAATGCAATATTTCATAAGTATAAAAGTATTTTGTAAACAAAACAGAGAAATTTACTCATCACTTTTTCATAATACATTTTTTTATTTTTTAAGAAAATAGTTTTTCATTTTTAAGGGAAAATACGCCTACAAACTTAATAAATTATACTAGTTTTATAAAATGTCAAATTTTATCCAATCAATTTTTTTTAAAGAAATAAGCTATAATGCTTTCTAGAGGAAGGGCTACCTCTTATTTTATTTTATTATTTTTTAAAATATAACAGGTAGCACATGGCTCCCAAATTTGTTATATAGCGGTGTTTATAAACAATCACTATATAATTCTTTTCAGAAACTTTTCATCAGCCTTTATATTTTAATGAATTGCTGTATCTCAAAGTTTCTATAAAACTCACCCTTACTCCCGCAAAACCACTTCCCTTCATTGAGAATCATTGTTTTCTGCCAACCCTTGTCGTTAGCCATCAAAGATACACCATGGGTTGTTGTTGTTGTCTCCGCCCTCATCATTAAGCATGGGTTTCATGTGCTATGGGTTGCCTACTATGAAGCATTGATACTTCAAGTTGCCTCATGTATCATATCTTATACCAATACTCACCAATATTTCTTTGATATGTATCCAAAATTTATGAAAAGTACAATTAAAATATAAAAAGTGTGTATTTAAAAGGATGTTTTAATGAATAACTTATAATTTAAGTTAATTTAACTTAAATTAAACTTATAGAATTAATGAAGAACTAAAAATTAGCAAATGATTAATTTTTCTATTTTTCAGAATTAATTTTTAAAAATTACAATTTGCCCTTAAACTTTCAAAAATTTTCACTTTTGCCCTAAAATTTTTAGAAATTACAAAGTAGCTCAGATGATATTAAATGCTCCTAATATTTTAAAAAAACCTCTAAAAAATGTCAAAAGCTACAGAAGATAATATGAAAATGATATGAACAAATGATAATTATTAAACATAAATGCTTGTATTAGTATCAAGTATTTCAAAATCCTCATTTGATATCGAATTGAGATATGATTGAAGCCATTAGTTAGATCTCTTATTTATCTTCATGTACCTTAATTGAAGGTTCAAGAGGTTAATTAAGTGGTTTAAAATTCTAAAATAAGTGTTATCTTATATGTGCTATTTATGAGCATACACCACAACAAAAGGTCTTGTTGGCCACAGTGGATTATTTCGTTTGGATTGACCATAGCAGATCATGCTGTTGACCATGGCTTGTAGCATATTAGCCACAAAGAGTGCTGTAATATCCATCTTGATATTACCAAAACACAGCACGCGATACCATGATGATGAGGATTAAACAAATCCTTACTTTAGGTCATCATAATATACAAGGGTTCAATTTCAAAAGTAATAAAATTAGAATCCCAAGAAAACCCTTTTTTGAAAGAGTTTGTGCTTAAACAGTAGTTAAAAATATAAATGAGAGAGGTACGGAAGCATGGTAAAAGAAATCATCACATCCATGCATCAAAAGAGGCTAATTTAAACAAGGTCTAAACTACTCCATTTGCTATAACACAAGTATCACCTATCACGGCAAGTAGCATAAGAGGGGAAGCCCCTTTATTGTGTCTTATACCACAACACAATGCCTTATATTGTGGCTCGCCTTTGCTATCATGACAATTCAAGACCAACTTTTGAAGCATGCCATTTTGCCATCTAACATCTAATTAGAGTGATTCAAGTATTTACATGTAGCTAATTAAGCCACCTAACTAAACTATTGGCACTAGTTTGTCACAAAAAATATATCACCATTTAAAATTAGATGTCTGGGTGTAAAAAATCACTCTTCCAAACCCAAACCTCCCAAAGGTGTCCAAAATCACAAACCACATGTCCATAGCCTAGGAACCACTTTAACCAACTCACATGAACCACAATGAATCTAATAGTACAGTCTTCTCAAACACAATTTTGGCCAATAAAACCCAATTTAGCATCAATCACAAGGTAAATGTATAAACCAGCATTGCAACTCTATGGCTAACTATAAATACATAATTACCATAATAATGACACTTGTACTAATTCGACCTCTTACAACAAATCCTATCACAATAATATAACTTAGGATGAAATACAAAAAAAAATAGCATATTATCATGCAAGTGCACCAAAACAAAAATATGTCCTAAGTTAGCATAAATATGCATATATTCGATTACACGTGTACCAAAAGAATAGAGCTATACAATCTATAGCTCCTCTAATTTTCGGTGGTATCCTTCTTTCCCTCGCCCTTATCGGACCTTCACTTGTAAAATATATGGATGAGAATAATGTCTTGGTAATCAAATAATTTAATATATCTACAAGTACACGAGAATAGTACATGAGCATGTGAAATAGAAAATAAAACAAGTTATTCAATTACAATCAACATATGAATATATATACACATAAAAAAAATACATTATCCACATCGCCTTGTATTTTTCTTATTTTCTTTGACTGAATCTGTAGGCTATTAACTTAATAGGATTAAGTTTATGTAACTAGATTGGTCCAAACTCACCAATTTTGGGAGGCAGCTGGACCAAAAATGCCTTTACCCATTCTTAGAGCATTGATTTCCCCTCTCTCGAATATTCAAGTGTCATATGCCCAATCTACCACAAAGATAGAATTAGGACTTCCAAACAAGAAAAACTGAGCTCCTGAGCCTCCAAGATGCTAGTTTACTATATATATTTCAAATAATACAACAACCATAAGGTGAACCCATTCCCTCTCATAATGATCATACACGTATAACTCAACCCAACATAAACACATTTACATGTTGAATAATTTCAAATTATTCACTAGCATATCAAATCATAAACAATTTCACAAGTATATTCATATATATATATATATATATATAGTTTTGGCATAAAACAATCTTCCAAACACACACACACACACACACACGTTCCACTTCACAAAGATTTCCAAATCACAAATAAACATTTATATTGATACATTACTAATTTAAAATAATAGAGTATATTTTTTGCAATCTCATGGCCATCCAAACATACAAATAAAAGACTAGATTATACGGTTATCTCAACATTTTTTGTCATAAAAAAAGGGTTACCATAGCAATTAAACTTCCACTAGCCTAATAAGGTATGAATAATATTTATTCTATGAGATCAAACACTAACAATCAAATTACAACTTTATTAAACACCCTTTTATCCTAAATTTAGGCACCCACACTACCCAAAATTTCCTTTAAACCACAACCAACACTCCAAACCTACTTTATTAACCTTATCTAGCATCCACAGACCTAGATAACACCAAATATCCACCTACATTACTCCCAAAACTCAAATTTAAGATTAGAGCTCGTCTAAACCCTAGCTCAAAATTTTAAATCACTATATTATTACTAAACCTAGGTGTAAAAGCTTAAATAAACTCCTTATATACCTAAAGAACACAATAAGTTCAATTATAACCTAAAGAAGGAATGAAATCAATACCTAACTATATCCAAATCTCCTAAAATTTCAAATAAAAAGGAAGGAAGGTGGATAGGAAGCTTACCTAAGTGTTAAACTAGTATAGATTGCCTCTAATGTGGTAAAAAATCAAAGCCCTAGCAACCAAAGTGCTCTCCCTTATTGCCTCTCTTGTTCCTTTCTTTTTCCCTTTTAAAAATCAAATGCAATTCTCATATAATTTATTTCAAAAAAGTTCCATATACCACGACGCATTTATGGCACAACATGCCACCATGCCAAAAAGGTCCTTCCACTCAGATTTGGTTCACCTAAACTCCATCTTAGCCCACTTTTAAAGTTGTCCAAGAATTCAATAAACCCATTAGTAGATTAGAAACACCATTAATCCAAAAATTACTCAAATTTTACCATTTTGCCCTTGTTAATACTTTAAATTTAAAATTTAAAATAGATGCACAATTAGCAGTGATGAGTATACCAGAATCACCGAAATGTTTGTTTCGCCCCTAGTTCACCTGGTTTTAAATGCTCACTCATATCCCATTTTTACAAATCTTTCCTACTTTGATTTCAAGTATATTTGAGTATTAATCTATTTTTTGAATAATCTTGGGATCCCATTCTTTAAAAGAGTTTTGATAGGTATTGATTTACTTATATGTAGCCATGTTTAATCCTTAGTTATAAAGGTTGGTGTTTAGTTAGGCTTAAGTTGGGACAATAAAGAATGTCATTACAAAATGTTTGATGGATCACTCATTCTAGACTTTACTTCATGTAATATTGCCCTTATTATCCCAACACTTAACCAAACCACCATAGTGACATGGGATTAACCCAATCTAATCATCATACCATAATTAAAAGATTTAACTGTAGTTACAAAAGGACTAACTATAGTAAAAAGAAAAAGATCTGATATAAACATCTACTATAGTTAAATTATTTTAAACCAATCAATTTTATAATTTTTAATGCACAATTCTATTATAGTAGAATAGTTCAAAACCAAGCAAATTACAACAACAACAACAACAACAAGCCGTTATCCCATTAGG